CAGTAGTCGGCATCATCAGCGAGTTTTGCCATTCTCCGCACCAAGCTACGAACCCGTCAAAAAGACAAGTGAAGTCAATCCCTCGACAAACGTTCTGCCGAATCGTGATAACTACTATGTCAGACGACTTCGGACTAGGTGCGTTCTACTAAGTCGCCCTGACAACAAGACCAAGTCGCGACAACGAGGTCAACCCACTTCTATAGGCATTCTTCTTTCGATAAGAGAATGGAATCTTAAAAAAATACCTGATGGGAAATGAAATTTAAAAGCAAATATTACTACAGTGCGTAGTAAGCTGTACTCGTGACTTTGCAGAGCCATAAAACTGTTGAAAGGGCAAGTTTATTGACTACATGACTCCAGATATTTACATTAAATGCATAGTATATTCCTGATAATTAAATAGTACGGATACGCGGAAAAATAGACTTTAAAAATATTAAAAATATTTTAAAGGTATTCTATTATATCATGTATTACCTTAAATATTTATTAGAGGCTCTTATAGCAATTGTAAATTGTTTCTTACAACTGATCCATGTAAACGATTGCTAAGAAACAAGGATTCATATAAACGCAGCCAAAGTCAGAGTAAAACAATCAGGGAACAGTGACAAGCAGAGGAACGGCTCTTCTTTGTATAATTAAAATATTAGCAAATGTACTGAGGTAGCTTTCGTTAGAATACATAATACATGAATTGTTGACGAGGTCCAGTCTATAGAGTGATATTACCCATAGGACTTAAATTATTTCATTTTAACAATTTTATATTGCGCAGCTTTGTTGACTAGGTTAAGTTATTTTAATCTGTAGAGTTAGTATCGCATATTGATTATTAGTCTATAGATATCTGCCAGTCTAGGAATTCGCACTATAAGCTAGTCGAATACGTAGGCTCGTTGCAAAATATAAATTTAAGATCAAAATAAATCCATCTTGCAATTCGTTCATATTGAGGAAGCATTATCCTTCTTGAAAGGCTCAAATGTAGAATGCATATATTTTGATTCTGAGCTGGGTATTTTGCTATTAGACAAGATTTCAAAATCATCGGCAGCTTTAAAATATTTTATTATTCTTCAATAAAACTTGTACAAGAAATTTTTGGTTCGGCTTAACAAATCTTGAAGATATAAATGTTGCTAATTTTGGACAGCATGACTGCTACCAAATTCTTTGATTTCGTGAGAAAATTAAGATTTAAAATTGATAGAAGCTCTGATATCTCATCAAATAAAGTTTTAATTAGCTCAGAAAATGCATAAGATTGATTAAACGAACCAGGACTATACTCTGAGTTTAAAGAAAGGCTGATAGTCTCCAAACTTGTCGAATGAACTCATTATTGCCCCTATCTTTCTGATACTCACCAGTGCGTTTATTGGCTTTGAGTATTGCCTTCATCTTGCGATCACTCCAGTAAACCCACTCCTCAAACACGGCCACCCAGTATGGATAGTACTCTGGACTGTGTACCACGCGCCGCCGACGCTTTGTCACAAGATGGAAAGCTTCGATACAGCCGCACTGGCCATCTGCCCAGTAGAGCTCATTATTCACGAAGTCAAGACTCAAGCCATATGGAGACTTAAGATCGCCACTCACAAGTACCTGCCGGTTCTATCATCAATCAAGTCAAAGAATAAAATTAGGGAAAGATCAAAAAATAAAATAATTAAAAAGAATATGCTCGGGCCGAAAAGTGATTAGAATGCAAATAAATTTAAGGATTAAAAATCACTCGTTACAATGCTAATGATGGATTTAAAAGAATGTAAACACTGGTAAAAGTATTACCAAATCACAAAGCATAAGCTCAGTTTCAAAGACACAAAAGCCAATTATCGTGATGATATTTAGAGCCCTTTTCTGAGTCATTTAAGAAAGTTGTATCCAAGTTAAATGATCTCTGGCTGAAATTGAACAAAGTTGCTTCCTAAATAAGATCTAAAAACACGGTCAATAGGAAATTAGCTTCGCTTATACGGACAAATAAATGAAAGAAAATTACCTCCACCCGAGGTAATTTACAAGACCTATTTAATAAATTACCTTAAGTACAATAATAATCATTTATGCCTCTTATCTTACAACTTACTTTAACTGATGTCTTTCTTGCATAAACTCTACAGCAATTGGTTTTGGCCGTCAAAATCAGAGTGACTTTATGGCTTATCGTAATTTTAGGCTTACGAAGGCTAATGCGAATTCAGTTTAATGGCCAAACAAGATGAAGAAAGTTAGCTTGAGTCAAAAGAAATATATACAAAGTGGATTATAGTGGTTGATCTAAGACTGTAAGGATGAAATCTTGAAATGCATGCTAATGTGGACCAACAGCAAATGAGCTGGCACTGTAATTGAATAAGATCCGAAGAATTAAATTTTAAAAAATTTAACCTAGAATTCTCTAAAATGTGGGAATCGTTGGTGCTCAACGCTTTGCCTTGATGACCTAAGAAAATATTATATTCTGGCATTACATAACTCTTTTACTTCTCCATCATGACAACACAAGAGTATATTGTAATATGTATAAAAACCGAGTTTCGAAGGGGAGATCAGATCAGGCAGAGATGTGTGTAGGAAACCCGCAAATGCAGGTTTCCTTTCGAATTTCTTCTCCAACAAAACTTATGGGATTAAAGAAAGAGATATGAAGTCTATGATAACAAGGAGCCTACGGCTGGCAGATGTTAATCATCGGGACCAGGAACTAATGAGACTAAGGCGAATTCTAGTTGATAATAATTATCCAGGAGGGCTGGTTGGCAACTATTTTAGAATATTGTCAAATAGAATGAAGGGAAATACATAATTGGGACCAGATAAAAAGATAGATTACTCTACCAGGATCCTTATGCTGTCATCGTATAAACTGTAGAAGAAGTCAGGCGAATTACTGAGGAGGCGAGATATCAGGACCATTTATAAAGAGAAAGTAACACTGTCCTCGGTATTACCTTCTTTTCAAGAATACTCTGAACCGCTCCCCGATTTGGCCGTTACAAGATTTTATGTTCATGTAGTAGTGCCTATGTGGGAGAAACCTGTAGACCCATACATAAGAGGTTATCCAAACACAAAACAGCCTGCAAAGGGATGTGGGTCCAAAAATCGGAATTAGCCAAACACATCGCCTGCTCAGGACACTAGATACATTGGTCTAATGCCAAACGTTTAGCTGGGTATAGAGACTATGCCAGTAAGCGAAAGATTAGGGAGGCGATATAAATCAACAAAGCAGTCAACACCCTGAATAGACGGAATGAGTGTAGGAAGGTAAGCGGAAACTACTTGTGGCTTTTGGATAGGTTCAGAGAGAGAGAGAGAGAGTGAGAGAGAAGTACCACCGAGCAAGAGGAGGCTTGATTAAGCTGTAATTTAGTTTTGATTCTCCCATCACACTCATTTCAATAGCAATGCATTCACACAACACACGTGCAATAGGACACAATCACATGCGGTAACATGACATGATCAAAGGCATAAGTGGTTTATGGGAGGATACAGCTGTTCAGCTTCAATTGCACCCATTTCACACTTCACTTATAGCCACTTCATATATCATCCGCAGCCACTTAACTTAACTTATGAGCAAACATAGAGTCAAAGTATAGGATATCCAACCAAAACATGAGATGTCTAAGTGGACCAAATTGGACTGTAAGAAGGAAGTAGGTTTGAAGCCGATCACCTTTCTTGCCTTCGTGTTTTTGGTGAATTATCGCTAACCATTGTGTCTTGCTCTGACGATGTCCGTCACATGACGGACGAAAGCTCAGCAAGGATTCACTGGGGTCGCAGGGTGCTTCGGCGAGGACCTATTCACACAAATCTACAACCACAGCCCCAAGGAAACCTCCCCACAGCCTCCATTGGAACCAACTTACGAATCTCTTCCAATCGCCTTTTTACACGAAATGAAAGGTACTCCAACATCAATTGGTAATACTATTTGTTCCTTTTCTCCTTTCGTTTTGGGGCCCCATCTTTGAAGTTGTAGAGGGCAAGCGTATAATATTTTAGAGACAGTCCACTTCCTTCTTTGAAACACAATATAGGTGATCCCGACGTGACCCCGACAGCCGAACTCTTACTAGCAACCTAAACATCAAATCATTACCCTAGTATTTGGTTGTGTTTCAAATCAATATGACAAATCGTTGTTACTAAGTTCTCAGATCAACGGCCAAGCTCAAAAACTGACAATGGAAAGTTTCGACGTTTGTCTCTATAGCCTGAGGCCTCACTTTATTTGTCCGCCCGGATCATCAACTTAGCTTCTACCCTCCTATATTTAAAATGCGCGCACCTTGGTGTAGATACGTCGTAATCGCGTACGCCACTCCTTCCCTTTTCTGCATCCGCGAAGGTACAACTTCGGTCAGTCGTCCGTTAAGGAAGACTGCGCTCAACTAGCGTCTATGTTCCACGCAAGGCCTTAGAACGACAGTATCATTATTTCGGCATCCATTGGACAACCGTTGCTCCACAGAAGCAGCACAACCTTGCCGCAGAGCCGACTTCAAATCAACGCCGACTATCCGTTTTGAGCTTTCGCAGCGTACTATCTTTTGATGCCGATATGTTTGGCAGCACAGAATCCAGCAAGTTATTTTGGTTATCTCGCTCATTTCCTATTTTTGCCAAATGTCCTTTTATCTCTTGTCATTGTCATAATCACATTCTTCTTCGTCTCGAGCCCATCCTAACAGGGTTATCTCTTTGGGGGAGTACTGTAGTGACCTATCCCCAAACTATTCCAATCAAATGCTCTGACGATGTCTGTCACATGACGGACGAAAGCTCAGCAAGGATTCATTGAGGTCGCAGGGCGCTTCGTTAAGGACCTATTCACATAAATCAACAACCACAGCTCTAAGTCAACCTTCCCACAGCCTCCATTGGAACCAACTTACGAATCTCTTCCAATCGCCTCTTAAAACGAAACGAAAGGTACTCCAACATGAATATATTGTAATATGCCGGAGGGAACCTGTGCAAAATGGCCTGCTTTATCTGAACTATCAGCGATTATATTTTCTGTTCATATAAGCTTACAGAGAATATTTCTCCTGAGGATGAAAGAATAGATTGGTTTATTTTTCTAAAAATGAAGATTAAATGTGTATAAAAATGAATCTA